GGAGCCGAGTCTTCGCCTACCTTCACTTTTGAGCTGGTACGGTGTGACCACCTTCACTTTTGGGTTTGAAAAAAATTTTGCTGAGCTTAAAAGAAGGAAAAAAGCAAAAGGAACGCAAAAGAAAGTATTGAGAGCATATATGTATGTAGTAAGTCGATCTAGGCAGAGAACAGAATTTCGAATGATAAAATAGCGAAAAAAACATGCGAAATTTCCACTGTTATAAATCTGGCGGTTGAAGATGTCAGCAATTGCACTTCATAGGTTCTGAAGGGCAAGTGTTGTTCTACGAGATAGTGAAAGAATTAGGTCGATGTGAGCAGTGGCCGCCGAGAACGAGAATTTTAAAGAATTAAGCGATTTTAGGTTACTTAGTGACAGCTGACGTTCAGACTCCTATAAATCTGGAATGTGAAGGTATGCAATGTTGCGACTTCATAGGTTTTGTATAGTAAGAATTGCTTTATTGGACTATGCCTTAGCCGTACCGATCCATCGAGATACCGCCGAGATCCACGCTCTTGAAAAAACTGGTGAAAAACCGCTTTTTAGAATTCAACAGCTCATAACTTCTTCAGAATTGCATGAATCATGTTGCGACTTCATAGGTTAGATTTTTCTCATCAAGAGCTTTCAGATGATATATAATATGTGGGGGTTTCGCGCCTCTCACGGCATATGCCCGGGGGTGGAGACTTTATACCCCAAAGTCTCCACTGGCGGTCTCCGGCCAATACATTGACATGGGCGAAGTGGAGACTTTGGGGTAAAAAGCCTCCACCCTGGGTTAAAGCTGCAAAAATCATTGAACCCCCCACCTATTATACATCATCTGAAAGCTCTTGATGAGAAGAATCTAACCTATGAAGTCGCAACATGATTCATGCAATTCTGAAGAAGTTATGAGTTGTTGAATTCTAAAAAGCGGTTTTTTACCAGTTTTTTCAAAAGCGTGGATCTCGGCGGTATCTTGATGGGTCGGTACGGCTAAGGCATATTCCAATAAAGCAATTCTTACTCTACAAAACCCATGAAGTCGCAACATTGCATGCCTTCACAGTCCAGATTTATAGGAGCTGGACTTTATAGGAACGTCAGCTGTCACTAACAAGGGAAGTTCGCCGAATCGAAATGGCCGCATGGTACGTGGTATACACCCGGACGCGGGGCTCGGAAGGTTAGTATCAAATGTGCGCCCATTAGCTGCGACGCGTTATTGTGAAGCAAGTTATGGCCCTCCGAAGTTTTTGGCGTGTGCATGTCTAGAGAACGCACAAATGCTCCGATTGTGGTCGTGTGGTGTAGCGGTTAGCGTCTCGGACTCACAGATGACCGGTGAGGGTTCGAGTCCTGTTGCTGTCCACATGTTTTGCGATCTTCTTAAAATTCATTCTTTACCTGTTTTATGCATTGCTGACGTAAAAAATGACACATACGGGTGGTTAAACTAATTATACTAATTACTAATCTACTAATTATAGATCCTGCGATGTCATTCTCACAAGGTAGCCCATTAGCAACAATCAGTAGTACGACGTGATACAACTTGGAGATTGTCACGTAAATACTACGTGCAATCGAAGAAAGTATGTGGGAGTGAGGATTTGGCAAATCTTCAAAGTCAATTGAAAAGCCTTCGCTAAAAAGTCGTTGCTATGTTCTACGAAAATCTTACATATGAAGCATTGGTCGAATTTTCGTGAGAAAAATTATCCCGTAACCCGTATGTGTCATTTTTTGCCTCAGTAATACATAAAACAGGTAAAAAATGATTTTTGAGAAGAACGCAAAACATGTGGACAGCAACAGGATTCGAACCCTCACCGGTCACCTGTGAGTCCGAGACGCTAACCACTACACCAGACGACCACAACCGGAGCATTTGTGCGTTCTCTAGACATGCACACGCCAAAAACTTTAGAGGGCCATAACTTGCTTCACAATAACGCGTCGCAGCTAATGGGCGCACATTTGATACTAACCTTCCGAGCCCCGCGTCCGGGTATATACCACGTATCAATCGGCCATTTCGATTTGGCGAACTTCCCTTGTAAGTAACCTAAAATCGCTTAATTCTTTGAAATTCTCGTTCTCGGCGGCCGCTGCTCAGATCGACCTAATTCTTTTACTGTCTGGTAGAACAGCACTTGCCTTTCAGAACCTAAGAAGTCGCAGTTGCTGACATCTTCAACCACCAGATTTATAACAGTAGAAATTTCGCATAATTTATCGTTATTTTATTATTCAAAAATCTGGTTCTCGGCGGTTACTGCCTGGACCGACCTACTTCCTTCGCAGTACGTTATAACAAAATTTACTTGATAAAATCTGTAAAGTCTCGCTGACTTTCACTTCAAAACACACCATTTACCAAACACGTTTATTTTAAATGTACATATATGCCGCCGTATACATAAAAATATGCTTTCAATAATCTTTTTTTGCGTTTGTTTTGCTTATTTTCCGCGCACTAGCGGTAACGACCTGGAAGGATAGGCTCAGTCGACATTAACGCTCCCCCCCCCCCCCCCGGTCGACGTTTTTGGGAGGTGAGTGTCCGGCACTACTACCTTCACTGTTGGCCGGCCAGTGGTAGCTGGAACCACCTTCACTTTTGGGGGGCCCGGCTCCACCCATCGCACCTCTGCCTCCGCACAGTCAAACAGTTTTCAACACGTTTCGGACCGGTGCTGCACATGGTGCAGCACGCGCCCTTGAAGGATCTTTTCAACAAGAGGTTTACAGGAAGTTTTCCTGGTCATCAAGTCGAAGGCCTAAGTTCCTCCTTTTCGAAAGGGTCTGTAGAACTGTGCCATCGATATCTGTTCAAGAGATATGAGGACAAATCGAACATCAGTTGCAACGAAGTGCGGCAATGCGAAAGACGCGTGCAGCGTTGCAACTTTTCTTAGCTTTGAATACAAAGAGAAAAACGTAGCAATAATGATGTGTATCATTTACAACATAAATACTTTTGAATAGGATTAAAAACTGAGATCTTGTTCCCATCTTCCAAGAAAGCACGGGAGTCCTTCTCAGACGACAAAACTCAAACACTTCAAGTTCGCTAAAAACTCTGGGTATGGATCTTATTTGAAATGCTGATTACAGATGTAGCACACAATCTACGAATTAAGGTCCCTCTGTTGGCTAACGGCTGAAAGTAGTACCTTCTTTTTCTCCGCGCGCGATTTCGCTGTCCGAAACGTGTTAAACGATAGAGACTCGCAAAAAATCATTGGATCTATGAAGGCCATCCATGGCACTGATAAATGTGAGAACGGAATGAACCTGCTCAATTTTTTCCCAAAAGCAGGTTACGAGCATACCTCCTCCAGCTTATGCAAATTTGGATAAAGATAGGTTAGCACTCTTTCAGTTCGAGGCATAAAAAAGAACATCTAGTACTTTTTTCTATGCAGATCAAAAAACCTACAACCAGGGCCCGGCACGAGGTGGGCAATGACAAGCCGGAAATCGTTTTTGGGGAAAAAAGCAAGGGGGAAATCGTTTTTGCGGGGTCCGGGGCGGAGCCTCGGAAGAAGATTCCAAGTACAAGCAATAGAAGGTCGAATCATGCTTATTGCCTTAATATCTAACTCATTGGGAAGCAGTCTTCACAAGCTTCAACGAACAGCAGAGTTCGCGCGCGTTACGCCTCGCCGCCGCCAATTGCCGCGTGCGCGACTTCGAATAAGCGATGCCGTTGAACAGCATGAATACATGATCAGTTCTCAGTGCAGGCGTAACGATATAGCACCAAATTAGGTAAGCGAAAACGAAAAGAGGCTAGTAGAAACAAAGTATGAAATATTATGAAAAACTTGTGTGAATGATGGGTGTAATAAGCATTTTTTTTTCAAAAATTTTGCAAAATTGGTAAATGAAGATGTGAATTCAAATAGCTCGTTTGCAGCGCATTGACGACCATACGGTATGAAACTCGGTAGGTACATGAACACGAGCCTGCTGGGCTTTTACAAGTTTTATTGGAAAATTATGTGACTGAAGGTTGTGGCAAGCTTTTTTCTGAAAATTTCCCACTATAACGAAAATGGAAAAATGGCTCGTTTGCAGCGCAGTGAAAACGTAATCGCGCGAGACTTGGTGTGTATACGCGCAATAGGACTAAGGAACAATGTATGAAAAATTATGAAAAACTTATGTGAATGAAGAGCAAGCTTAACTTTTTTCCAAATTAGGTGGGCAATTGCCCACCTAATGCCCACCTGAGGTAGGCAAAACTTTCGGTTCACATAAGTTTTTCAAAATTTTTACACAAATCTGCTGTACACCTAATGTTTACTATATGGTGAGATTTTGGTTCCGAAACTCCTCCTCTTGTCTTTGTTAGAGCCCAAAATCGCATCAGCTAGTTTTTGAGTTTTTGCCCAGCCTTTCTAAGACGGAAAGCGCGCCCCCATCAATCGACACGCGCGAGAACGGCGTCTCTCAGTTCGATGAATGCGTTACTTTGATATTTCTTTATCCTTCATCATTTTTCTTGCTTATTCTTCTTCCTATTCTCTATCTTGGTACAAGTGATAGTAATTAGAGGAGTTTGAGCATTTTGAGCGCTTTTGGGCGCTTTTAGGCGAAGTATGGCCTGCGCTCTCGTTGCACAAGAACAACGCATCGTTTTTGGGCTTAAGGGGGTATTCGTAAAAAATATTGGGACCAAAGGGGAATTCGTTTTGGAAAGCGCCGTTTGCCCACCACGTGCCGGGCCCTGCCTACAACTCTACGGCTATGGACTTTCGGGCAAAAAAAGCTCCGTAGCCGTTACTTTCGACAAAACCTTGGGTAGCCTGGGATTCTCCTGATTTCTGCTTTTATGAAGAACGACCGGATAAATGTTGGTTGTACAGTCTTACACAAGCTGTTATACTGCTTTTTGTTGCCGATAACACCTCGCGGAAGGATAAGTTGTTGCGCCAAAAATGAAGATGCTCTCGCTTGCCATTTTATGCGCGTAACCGTTTTCTACAAGGACATAGTTGATGTGCGCTTTTCAGGATGTGCTTTCAAGCGCAGCATCAGCGCTGGAGGCAATATCTACAGCAAAACTGCAAGATGAACTCAAAAGAGATTGCGCGCGTCTCGCAAAAGAACTGCGCACGTTTATGGGCAAGCTAGAGGTAGTGGAGTTAGTTTCTACATGTATCAGCCGTTTCCTGGCCATGCTGACAAATTCAATCTTAGGAAGGTGCAAAATCTGTAGAAAGAAAAGCGAAATCTATTCCCAAATCCGACGCAACGACGGAGACAGCTTCCTCGGACGTTGCTGACAGCACCAAAAAGACTTCTGCGCAGGCAAATGTGAGTGGTAAAATACAGAGATATTATCTACTTAACACTTTCCTTTCCAGATACCATCAAAATCTCCTGATATGCCAAAAATTGCCCCGCTTCCAAAAGGAGATCGGCAACTTGTACTTACTACTGCACAGCGATCATCTCCAACGGCAAAACTCCAAAAAACGCAAGAAAGTTTGAGACTACCTTCTGCTCAAGCGCAGAAGGAGCTACGCATAGCGAAAACTCGCCAACTGCTACACCTCCTAAGAATGTAATTTCTTTTCTTGCGCTAATAATATAACCCGTTTGCGGTATTTCCAGACCAGCAAGAAATTAAACAGTGCGTCTAGCAGCGCCAGCGGTTCAAAGGAACAAGTTCGTCCTTGACTTTCGTGATTCAGAAACTTTCATATTAGTGTGTTCACATACTTTCTTCACTTGCGTTCATAATACTATACGATTCAATGTCTAATTCGCTCAGGTTTTGTGTTCTCTGTAAACCATTGTAATTTTGCTGTAATTTAGTATAATGGCTATTCATTATTTTGGACGTGGGCTCGCTCAAAAAATGTTCCCAAGCAAAGTTGCTTCTTGGAGAGTGAAAGCGAAAAGGTTCTACTCTTATGATTAACCAGTGCGCCACCTCTGCTTCGCAGAGGCTCGCACTGGCTCTACTATAGTAGTGCCTTACTCATTCTCGTAAAATCGTGGCACTGGAACTCACCGCGCTATGCCGACTACCACGAATAAAATGTAAACAACTTCTCATTTAGAAAGCTTTTTCACGTGAGATCGGTGATTTCGTATGGATGAAACTTTTCGCAGAAAGACAAACGCAAATTTGAACTGGTTTCTGAATTTGTCATGGCTTGGTAGTTCGCCATAAAGGCAATAGTGACCGTGCTCTACATCTCCGTACGAAAATTTTCTCAAATTCTTGAGTAGAACCTTAGCAAATTGACCATTTACGCAGCCAATTCTTTTGGCGCCGTTTTCGTTATGTAGTAAACTTCTGACCACTCTTCGGGCTAAATTCCATCGCTTGCACATTTGCTTACCAAACGCATCCACCACGTTGCAAAAAGTGGTGATACGGACCCAATTTTGCGGGATAGAAGCCGGTGGATCCGTTTGGCGCGCAGTTTTTGAGGGATCCACTCAACGAATCTACTCGTGCTTTTGCATATTGGGCTTTCATGAAGGTAGCATGTGCTATGCAAAATTTGAGCTCAGGACGTTGGCTGAAAACTGCTCTACGAATTTCGTAACACACACACACACACACACACACACACACACACACACACACACACACACACACACACACACACACACACACACACACACACACCCTTAGACACACCCGTTATCGTAAGTTATGATGATGATATTCCGAAAACAGACAAGTAGCTGAGTTTATGAGCAACAGTTCGTCGATATCAAGTAGGAGCGCTGTTGATATCAAGCCTTCAAAAACCTTATAATGACTGCTACTCCTCATTTTCTGGATTACAGATTCACAGTCTTGAATACATAGTCGTTGAAGGTCCTTCCAAACTCTTTCTTAGCCATTAAGTGACAGAAATTTGATTAGTGTTTCTGTGCAAAAACTCGTGTCACAGAAGTGTTGAGGAAGATTTCTCCTTTTCCAAATCATCTTTGGTTGAGCAAAATGCTGAAGAAGGATTTTTTTTGTTTTGTGGATCAAAATCGAGGTGTCCGTTCTGAGTAACGCCTGCGAATCAGCGCTATAGATGGAACTATGTCTGCAACATCGATAGCACCTTGCAAAAAACGAGCTCTGCCCTCAGCAAACTTCTTCAGCCTCAAGACCTTCAATATCCCTCTGAAACGTGGGCCAAAAGTCCGAAAGACCACTGAATGATTACTCATTATGAACTATTTTTATGAGCTATGAACTATAATTTTCCACAGTGAATCAGCGGGTTAATTCTCGTTGCAATCTTCGATCACTCCGAGATAGCTGTTCACCCAGAATGGGAGGCGTGCAAGTGGCACCCGAGCAGCCGACTGCTGCCGCAGCCAGCCGCTAGAGCTGCCGGCAAAGCAGCTGCAAATGGTACAGTGATTACACTCGTCGTCCAAAACTCTTGCCGGGAGGTTTCCTCGCACCTCGTCAAGCTGAGGTGCGATATTAGCCTAAGGAAAGCGTGATATCCTCGATATCTATATAATTTTGAACAGCAAAAATTTCATGTTGTTGAGAAACATGCAGATAAACAAAGGTGAAGAGGAGGGTTGTTTTCTCGAGGAAAATGATCACAAAATCAAATCACTTCAAAAACTCAAATGAAGCAGAAGCTAAAAAAAAATTAGGAATTCTCAAATTTTTAATAATTTTTTTTCTTTCTTTTACGTTGAAAAATGGATGAGAACAATTACAGGATAATGTCATGGATATAACGTTAAGAAAACTGTGTCAAAATGATTATTTCATACCTAGTGATGTTAAGCGAGCTAAATAAGGCTGATTAAGTCAATCAAATTAAGTGGGCCAATGAGCGTAATATCATCAATATCTATATCATTTTAGACAGCAGAGAAAAACCATATTTCATTGAAAACCATATAGTCGAATACAAACCACACCGAAAAATTTCCAAAAATTCATAAACAATTACAAAAATGAATGAAGAGAAAATCAACAGTTTTTTCTGCTACAAGTCATGAAATCAAAGAACAATAAATATCCATGACGCTGTAGTTTTGACGATCCTTGTTTTCCAATGAAAAATTCTTAGAGATCAAATTCACTTCTCTATGAACACTTCTGAATCCGAAATGCGGTTTTGCTGAAGGATTATCAGAGGTGGTTCTATCAATTTTGAACCTTTTATTATTTGCAATGAGTTGTGAATTTCGAAATTTTTTCATTATTTTTTTTATTTTCTCGAAACCAGATGTGGCATATTTTCATCTTTTAATATTGACTTTTGTTTTACTCAATTTTTTCAGTTACCTTTGAGTTTTTGAAGTGATTTGAATATGAGATCATTTTCCTTTGAGAAACCTCTCCTCTGTTCACCTTCGTTTATTTGCATATTTCTCAAAAGCCATGGATTTTCTGCTGTTCAAAATATAGATATCGAGGATATCACGCTTTCCTTAGGCTGATATCGCCCTCAGCTTGACGAGGTGGGAGAAAACCTCTCGGCAAGAGCTTTAGAGGACGAGCGTAGTTACTATACGATCTGCAGCGGTTTTGCCGGCAACTCTGGCGGCTGGCTGCGTCAGCAGTCGGCTGCCTGGGTACCACTTGCTACGCACCCACGCAGAATAGCGGGCTTGGTTGACCCATAGTGGAGAAACCTTATTCATATTGGGACATAGCAGCGGTTCAGTTCACTGTCCTACTCTTCTACCTTCTGCATTAAAGTGAATAACACTCTTGACAGTGTTATCTTTTGTCTGACCAATTTATTGCGAAAAATACCATGACCGTAGAGGGATGACACAGTGCGATGACCTTTCTCACGTTTGATGGAATATGCGATATACTATAGTTTCATCTCTAAATACTGCAGTGCAGATTGGGCTTTGGACTGCTTGATTGCATTTTTATTCAAAGAGATTAATCAGCAACTGGGTGCTTGATAAATAAGTCACTAGTTGATAAGATAGTCCACTTTATTATGATGAAGTGCTACCTAACCAGCGATTGCTTTCTTTGTTGTCAAACAACTGTTTGCTTTTATTTATACAAACATCCGCATCGCATACAGGTACTTCTGGTCTGAATTTATGACGCCAGTAATTGATTTTTCAATGATTCAAGCCGTCGAAGAGTAAGACCTTATTCGGTTCAAACCTTGATCTTCCCCGTTCATGGTAGCAGCATACCACTACGCCACCCATCCCCTGTCGATACTGCCATCGAACAACATAATAATTAGCTACAGTAGCACAATAAAAAAAAGATATGAAAACGGCATGTTATTGAGTCTTTGAGGTATTCCAAGTATTTTGTGGTTTTACTTACGTAGAACAAAAGAGATGTAAGTTTCTTAACCGCACGAACTGGCATTGCGGAGCAAGCGAGGCGCGGCTGAAGTTCACGAAAAAAACGACTTATACAATGGCAATTTGTAGCATGCACTTGTATATGCCCTTAACCGCGCGTTTTTCACCGTGCTCTTCGTAGGTCGATGATTCACCTATACAGCCTGGCATCAAATACAAAAGCTGGATAAAAGTAAATATACACAGTGCGAGTGACAGCTCATTATTCATTAATCTTAAAGTACGTACTATCTGGATGACTCAAGCAAATCTCCGAACTTTCGCACGCACTTCTGGACTTTTAAAGAAATGCGGTGCGCATGCCCGCCGAAGGAAATGAGGACGCTAGTTTTGAGAACTTCCTTCTGATGCTAAAAAGCAATCTAACGAGGAAGGTTCCCAAGTCAGCTCGGCCAACCCGGATGAGTCATATATCACCATAACGGGCCTAAAACGCAGATTCCAAATCTGCTTTCCTTTTTTGCTGAGCGACTTTTCGAGAGAAGTTATAAGCGTTTAAAAGTCTAAATTTGTCATGTTTTAAGTGGCTTAAAACTGGCGAAACCTGTACAATAACACATGAAAGTGATTTATCAGTTTTGTATCGAGTATATTGATTACAAGGACGAAACACAGATAATGAAATTCCGTTAGGTGTCGTTTTACAACTTTCAACTAATTTTAAGCCACTTTGAACATGACATGTTTAGACGTTTAAACGCTCATAACTTCCCTCGGAAAGTTGCTCCGCAGAAAAGGAAGGCAGATTTGGAATCAGCGTTTCAGGCCCGTTACGGTGATATATGAATCATTGGGGTTGGCCGAGCTGACTTGGGAACTTTCCCTTGTAAGAGCGCAACGAGTTTCAAGATAATCTTTTACTTGGACAAAAAATACAAGAAAACCGTATGTCAAAAATCAATTTATTCAATAGTAAAACCCAACCACTCGTTTACAGCTTCTCAAAGTCTTCACTAAGATCCTTGCAAGAACAAATTCGATTTTTGCACTTTGGTAGCTCAGCACTTGCGTAGCTATGAGAATAGTTACAGAAATAGGGAGAACTCATCCAGTAATTCCATGGCATGACGTAATGAGGACACATATCTTTGTAAGACTCACACTGCGCGCTTCTTCTAGAAGAGGAACGTTTGCATGCGGAGCACTTCTTCCTCTCGCCATTGGCTCCTCGTCGGTCTTCGTTTCTGTGTTCTTCTTCATAACCACAGTCATGGCACGGATGGAAGCGGTCCAAGCTTGGCGGGCACGGAAAGTAGACTTTCGCATCATAATTATCTTCAAGAGTAGCCAAGAGTTCATCAGCGTTCCTTATCACATAAATGTCGCTGACGCGGTCGGAGGCATAGAAGTTGCCTTCAACGGGGAAACCGTGTCGTTTTGCCTCCTTCAAGAACTTCTCGTAAAGGTCATATTTGTCCTTGTACTTGATAGATAAGGAGGGTGTAGGCTTCACATGGAATTTGAAGGAGATGGTATTTTCGTCAGCCATGATGAGGGAAGAATGGAGAAATGACCGCTCGCCTTTGTTTTATAGATCCAAAAATGGGTGGGTTCTTATAATGTTGAATAATATTGCACAACCAACGATCAGGTAGAAAGTGGCACGATCTCATGATGAAAAAGAAACACGGCAGCAACACTAAGAGATTGTTGTGCAATATTACGAGGAGTTATGCCTTTCTTTCCGCAAATTTCGCCCTATATAAAGCGCGTTGGTTCACTAGGCTATGTGAAAGTCTATTCTACCATCATGTCTGAAGACGACCGTGAAGTCAACGTCAGGCTCTGCTATGCGAATATTCCAACAATCACTATTTCCTATAAAGATAAAAAGGATCTTTTCAAGAAGTTCAAGCAGCAACTGAAAACCCTACCCTTCAATACTGATGAGCTTTACTATATTGATCAAAATAACGATCAAAGTGAAGTTAGAACTGCTGACAATTTGAAAGAAGCTGTTGATAGAGGCTATAACTACGTCAACATTTACGTTCGCAGAAATGACTCTGATCATGGATTAATGTCGTGTTCAAGCAGCGATGATGATGAAGAGAAGGAGGAGGGTGACGAAAAGAAGAAACACGCCAGAAGTGAGTTCATCTCCAAACAATGTGGCCATCGATCCAGATGTCGTCATCGTTCTCCTTCACCTTCCGAACACTATCACCGTTACTACCCCCCTTGGGGCTACATCCCATGGAACATGAATCCTCAGTATATGTATGGACCTCCGCCATTCTACGATGCGCATGCCGAAGAGAGCTACAGTCGTAGCCAGAACAAATGTCGTTATTGCCACAATTGAGCTATGCGCATTTCATATATTCGTGAATAAAGTCATGTCATGTGAAGCTTGCCACTCACATCCAATTCTCCATCTTCTAATCTTTATACACTGTCAAGTATATTCGCATATTGTGTGCGTACAAGCTAAGTAACAACGTTGTGCTGATTCTAGTGATCAAGTTTGTTAACGAACGAATTATCAGCCCTAATTATAGCTGGATAACCAGCAAGTTATCAATGGATAAAATGCTGTGTGCTAGATTTGCACTAAATATCTTGTTGTTAGACACACGCTTTCTCAGACAATCGCAAATGACTTCCGGGGGAAACTGAACTTCTAGAACGTCCGGAGGGATTCTCCTATTTAGCCGTGTGGGTGAGTCCCGCCCTATCTGGCAGCTCTAATAGGAGTTCCCCCCCCCCCCGTAAGTTTTAGAAATTCAGTTTTTCCCGGAAATTTGCGATTGTCGGAGTTAATTAGTTTGACGCGTTTTTCTTGACGTATGCCTTCTTAGTCAAGCTCCTGAGCAACGTTCAATTTTCTTTTATTGCGCTAACCTCACAAGCACAAGGTGGACAGGACGTTGGAACTTGACCGGCTTGAACACACCAAGAAATTTCGCGACCTAAGATTTTCTGTTGAAATTTAAAAAAATATTGTGTATTGGTAAATAAGGGGAAATCTCAGTAATAAGAAGTGGAGCAAAGCGCTGGGCAAAGTCCCACTATTTAAAACACGGGATATGATTTTCACCAGCGATCTCGTTTTTAAATAAAAATTGACCGAGTAATGGGCATTAAAACTGATTTTGTGGTTTTTAGTTTTTTAAATTTTGTATTTCGGATTGCAGTGACAAATTACGCTAAGGGTGCCTGTGTGATAGATACTTGCTTTTCTTCAACAATGCTGATGTGTTCCAGTAATGGGCCTCTATTGCACCAAGATAGACAAATATCCTCGGAAATACACAACTATCCATGCAGGCTTCTATAGCGCAGTCCTCAGTATATGTTTTCTCTCAATAAATAAGATGGTTTCTTCCGATTGCTTCAGCAACCACATCCTTCTGCCGATCAAACCCGAATTTCCCTAGACAGCATTTGAGAGCTTTTTCTGAAGGAAAATGAGTATTCAAAGCTGAGGATAGGGTACGCTACTTCGCAACAAGGTGCTAAATGTTTGCATGTAAGAAGGTTACTGCAGAGGACTGAAATTACTAGCATAAATACGATTAATCAAATGACAAAGTTTTTATTTCACCTGACTAGACAAGGGCTACATTACCCGAAAAGGACTTACGTAGTCAAAAAAGGCAGTAAATGCAATTGTCTCAAAGATCGACGCATAAATACTTGACATATATCAATGTAACGGTCTACGACAGGATCGAACAATTCCAGGTGCGGAAACATACGGCCCCACTACACCGCTTAATACGGTGTAACTTCAACTTGTTTTTGTATTAGAAGGCCTTTTGAAAACGCGAGTATTAATATTATCGGACTACGATTCCTTCAGAAATACAGTCGAGTTTTCCGCTTAATATAGTGTGCTTGCACAGTTTATGATATGCGGTAAGATTTGCGCGTGATCAGGTAACTGCGCCAGCACTGCCGGCATTTTGCGCGCGCGATTGGCCGGCGTCACAGTCGAAGCTTCCTCACGCGCAAATTTTACCGCATTTCACCTTTTGTGCACACTATATTAAGCAAAAAATCTACTCGACTGTATACTCAATTATATCTGGTTCAACTGCAAAAACTTCCTATCAATAAAAGCAGCACGTTCCATAGATTTCAAAACATGAACTTATTATTAGAAGAAACACAATTTTGGATTACTTTACGCCCGATAGATACACCTGCACGAGATTGTCTGAAATGTTTGAAGTTACTTGCATTTGCCATCGAAAGCAAATGGTTATTGGAATTCGCATGAGAAAAAACTGCTTCCGTCTGAGCTTTTTTCCAAAAAAGTCAATGAAGTATTGAATCTGTTGGTTATTTGTGCTATTTCACGAATTATCACAAACCCTAGGTGTGACCTTTCGTAAGAGGGCTCAACATTAGCATAGAAAATAATACAGTTTTTACAGAACTTGAGAATGATTGAATTTGCACGAGTAAAGAACTAGATGTCGCCGGAAAGGGGGGCCCCAGCGGTCATCTGCAACAAATGCGCACCTTTCATGGAAATGCGTTTTTGCAAGAAGTCCGCGCGGTGCCCTCCTACATTCGACACATGCAGTCCCTTACCCAATTCAACTTTTTTTTGATCTGATAATGTGACTGCTCAGAAATCGACAACGGCCTGCCAATCCTTATCTGGTAACTGTAAGGACTGTCTGCGAATTAGCTCGCGATGGAAGATGCGTTGACCCGGAGTCAGTCCATTCATTTTTGCTCTCGTACTTGCCAGAACTTTAACCTCAGGTGGATCACCAGACCGTGCAAGTCTTTTCTGGATGCATCGGTGATCTTTTCGGACAGTTGAAGGCTTTGGCAAATTCCGGTTGATTAGACAGCACAACGTTCACTCTGTACATATCCGGCGGATGTACATCCGTGGCAAGTTTGTTCAGCAATGTGGCACGTCGAGTGCTTCCGCACCAGATCTGAAGCATTACCTGAGAGAAGCCATGTCCATAAAAACAATCTCGACTTACAAATGCATAGTTCATAAAAAAGTACTGCATTTGCGTAAATCCCTCCAATCCTTCTATGGTAAATTCTTCACTGCGATTAACAAAATGAGAAGCAGCCTAAATATTTACTCTCCTTCATTATCTCAGAGATTCTAGCACACACCTTTATAGCAGCTCGCATTCCGCCATTATCAGCTATGTTCTCGCTCTCGGTTCTTCTACCGTCAATCTAAATTAAAATAAAAGCTTAGACATCCATTCGATGTGGAGAGTACCGTACAGCTTACCCTGACATGTAGGTCCTCTACAGCTATGCTTCCATATTGTTCATCAAAGCATGTCTTTTTCCATTCAAAATTTTTGTAGGTATCTGCATCCCACCAGTTGTTCCTATTGCCGACTTCGTCATAAGATGCTCCTAATTTTTAATGAACTTCTAGAAAAAAATTGGTTACTGAAAGCGCTAGTACCGGCATCGTCGAATCCATGTGTAATCTCGTGTCCTGCAACAACACCAATTGCACCATAATTCATTATCCTGAAAAAAAAAAGAAATTACCAATTTATTAGGTTGACCCGAAAGTCCCGTAGCACCATTTTTGGAAATTCATAACTTTGTCTTCTTCAACCGATTTGATCGCTTATATTTTTGTTTGGAATAGTAAATTGCTCTTTAAAACGACTCCTTAACAAAGCCATCAATAGGAAAAATTATAGATTTTTAAAAATGGTGCGACAGAACTTTCGGACCAACCCAATGCTATTCACTTTCAATTATCAATTGATAAGTGGATTGCTCTGAATAATTTGCTAGCATACCTGGGTAGTGATGCGTTGAAAAATGGAGACTGCAGCATGCCAGCCATCAAAGCTACAAAACCAATGAGTGCAAATTTATGGGATTTTTATAAATGGTAATCCTCTTCTTGCTTACCTATTTGATTCTGATTGCTATCGTAAAATGCGTTGACTTCGGTCACAGAAGCTTCGAATGTGTCTCTGGTATTGGTCTCCTCTAACCTGTGGAATGCTCTATCTTGCATCCATAGTTCGAGCGTTCGAACGATATCGTAATACGAGTTTTTCGTCGTGAAGTTTAGCTGAATGTTGAAATTTCTTATTTGGAGGATAATTTCGATACATTATATGGAAACTACCTTGGCATACTTTTTAGTTCTCAAAGTTTCATTAAATATGCTGCTGTCGTAGGCAATGAAGTCGCGAATGGCATTGGCCTAAATTGTAGAGAGTATATTACTTTGTGAGTTTCTCTGATTATTCTCTTACTCTCTCTGTTTCTAAATTTTTTTCGCTTAATGAGCATATCATGTAGTATACCCAACCATAGTTCCAAAAAGCTCGAGAGACTCCTATGGAAACTTCGCTTTGCCATAGCACATTTTTGCCGGTAATATAGCACTCATCCGATAACCTCCTGTATGTCTGCACAAACGATGAGGTGCATTTACGTTGATGTTGCCAGAATTTGGGAAAGGACCTACAGGGTAGACATGATGTGTAAGGCAAAAAAATTGATGACCTTGGGAAGAGTGAAATTACAAACTTTTGTCATGATAGGAAAGTTTTACACGAGATCGTACGAGATCCCTTCCGAGATATCCTTCTCTGGGTTTGATAAAAGCATTTTTTGGCCTCCAAAAATTTCCACGAGTGCGCAGTGATTTTTGGCGAAACTTCATCTCTTGACCATGCCTCTTTTTAGCAATTTTCTGCTCTCAAATCGACCAGACGGGAAATTTGTGGGTTCAACACTGGACGGGTTCGGAGGTAATAATCTGTCCAAATGGCTCAAAAGATATCCCCAAGTAACACTTATTAACTGGCACTTAATAAGCGCACTTGCAGACAAAAACGCGGAACCTCACGGCTCCGTTGACAGTGCCTAGTCCCAACAGAAATTTTTTCAGACAGCGTCCATAATGTGCTTCGGCTGAAAAGCAACACATTGCTTCAAAATTTGCTTCCGATGCTTCAATCGAAATCTCGAAAACCTGCGACTTGTATTTCCATAGCGGGTAATAAACCTGCGGTTAATAAATCCCAAAGCTAGATCATCTCTAGCTAGCCATAGTCAACATGGTCACGATAGGACAAAAGAATATGGAGATGAAGACTAGCACCAAACCATAGCACAAAATAAAAGATTTTCAGTAATTTTTTGTGGACTACCCCATAGACTCTCAAATTGGCTTGCCTTCTGCTTTGCTCTCCTCTTCGTATTGGCATCCATCCAGTCATTCTCATTCAGCATTTCTAGGAAAGCGTCTCTAACATCCTCGATAAGCTCTTTCACCAAGAACACTGAAATTTTTCTGTCAAGTTCTCTGTGCTTGTTGTCTCTTGCACCGCACACCCACTGCTATCAAAGTCGAAGTGTCGCTTGAGAAAATGCTTTCCCGCAATGTCGTAGAACATATTCACAGTGATTGATACACATTCGTCAGCTTGATCTCGTTCTTTTATTCCGTAGACTTGAGCCGAGAATTCCTACGCAATAATCCGGTTCAAGTTCCAAATTGAATACACACTTGAACACGTACAATTGATATCAAAAACTAACCTCCATTAGGATATGGAATTTTTCGCCTAGATAGTCACTGAAGTGGAAGATGATCTGAAACGTGCACCACTAAAAACTAAGTACATAAGGACATGAGTGTGTGAAAAAAATGATGCGTGGTTTTTCTCTGCTTTTATATGCGACAACTTTTCCATTAAGTGAACAGATTTAGCAAAGATTTGGAAGATTATATGATTCAATGGCGAGAAAAGTTTCCATCCTTATCTCTTGAAATTTTGAACGGTAGTACTCAGGACCGAAATTTTATGGCAGTCGCTTTCTGGGCCACAATGTTTCAAAAACATAGCTACTGCATGTATCAACTGTCTACTACTGCACAGTAATTCATTTTGAAATTGTTCAAACAGATGGACCCAAGACGGATCATGGTGGCCGTTATATATACTATGAACCAGAAAATTCTTTTAAAGAGAGCAATCATTAAATCTATGTGCTTGTTGCAAATTCACAGCTTTTAATTCTTCTTCACACATTCAGGGATGTAGAGACTTCCAACAAGTTAAGCTTATCAGACTGCGGTTCTGCTAAACACCGCTTTACACAGAAATATAGGTAATATTGATTCGTAGTAAAAAAAACCTTAAAAATATATGAAGTATGCTTGCCTTCCAATCAAGGTAATCTGAAAGTGTTTGGGGGTCGATATTTGACAACAATTCTTCCATTCGTTCAACAGTTAACACCTGGGTTATTCGCACTTTCCTGTTTGCAAGCGTTCGTTGATGTTGAGGCGGCATGTACGCTGATAAGTAGCGCATCCAGTCCACCTGTAAAAAATACCATCCAATTAGTAACAAAGACTGTATAGCTTTAGCAAAAGCAAAAAACACTTTGTCAGTAAATTTTGCAACTATACCGATGGTAGCAGTCCTTGCAACTCGATAACAGAGACGGCTATCGAATCAGAGTCAAATTCGGTTTCTTTCTTGATCTGAAAATGATCAGTGGAATGATCATTCAAGAGATAGTCGTCGGACTATAGGCTTTGCTCAGAAAGGTGAAGAAGATTGTTGAGAGTTGTTAGAAACTACTTTGAGATGCAAATTGGAAACAAAATGTTTTAAAAGATTCTGAGGTACAACGATTTCAAAGGCTATAGATTTATTTAGCAGCAAGTATAGATCAACGTAAGCTCAAGACCGTGACAATTTTTTTTCTTTTAGAACTTCACCCACTAACACATTTTGAGCATTTGCCATCGAGACGTCTCATAAGCCAAGAGCCGAAAACATACCTTAGCCACCGTTTGATCAACTCGGAGTAGCGAGTCGACTCTCCTTACATGTTCCAAAAAATTTCTTGAAATAAATTCTGCTCTGTGATCCTCGCTTGCTATCACAGCTAATATTTTAAACAACACCTCTCTAATTGCTATGAGCTCTTGAGTGTAAGCCGGGTCAAAATAGACCTGTGCTGAGAGCATGGACCCCGAGGGCACTATCTGAAAAGTGGTGGATCGGAGCTATCAATGTGAACGTGACATCGCTAACCTGCAAAATGTTTTTCGCAGAATTGTCCTCATCCGCTGAGATAGTAAGTTCATATAATAACTTTTCCGTCCTCATTATAAGCAGCCAATCAGTCAAAGTAGCGACCTGTCTGACTTCTCTGCAAAAAAAATTAGTTGATTAAGGTATTGTATCTAAAAAAACTCGAAACACCTTAGCTTGGAAAATAGCAGACGAAAACCATCAGAACCGCCAGAATATGCATTTTGGAGACATTTATTATAGAACGTTGTCATGAGGACATCCTCTCTTGATGGGTCCCGTATGGGAGTAGATAATATTGCTGTAACTGCTCTAGATAGTAACAAAAGCACTATTTTTTTGAATTGAATTGAATTAATGATATTAAAGCATATTTCACTGCTGGATACTCGGCAGAACAAAAACAATATTTTAATAACAAGAAGAAAACAATATTTTTGCGAATTAAGTTTGCACATCTATTTTATTTTGGCGCTAAAAGATCATTGCTGTTCCTTATTTTTCACATTTCAATCTGAGTAATTATAGTTCTTCTATCGCAATAACAACGGAGGATCGCGGAATCGAAGTGGCCGGTTACCATAGAATGCATAAAATTACAAAGAGCTTGGAGCGCATTTTAAATCTGCTTTCCATATCTGCAGATCGAGAAGAAAGTTATGAAAGTTTTTATCATCGAAATTTGCATGATTTTCAGCGTCTACAAATCATGGAATCGTTCAAATTGCTTTTCGCTCTACAAAATAACATTCTGAACGATCAGCACCACATTAGCACATTGACGACCATGCAGGTTCTTAATTGTCTACATTTTGGGACCAAGGCCTTTTACGGACCAGCCCATATTTTTTGACTATAATTACGCATGCTGCCATCTACAGTACACCTATAGTAGATCTAAAACACTGAAAAAAGCTAGAGGTCATCCCTAGATTCAGTGCAAAAGAAAGCTCATGGAGTGAGTTTATCCTAAGATGGTAGCCATTTTAGTAGAATTCAAGCCTTGACACACGTGGTGTGTCAAGGTCCCATACAGTAGTCATTGCTTGACACACCATGTGTGTCAAACGGTCGTCAATTTGTTAAGTATAAATAAGCTGTTCCATGTAGATTTGAGTTCAAATACTTGGGTCTTGATAATTTTAGCTACTCTCAGCCTTGCAAACTTCGCGCAAAAGCCTGTATCTTCCTTCTCAGAAGCGTTCTGCAGAATGGAAAACAAATTTGAAATCAGCGTTTCGAGCTCTTCGTGAGGATATGCATCTTATAGTGATCGGCCACCTCGAGTTCGCGACCCTCCTTTGTAAATATAATATTTTCAAGATCTTCTTTTCAGTTCAGAAAATGTCACCACTAAAAAGATCCCCCTTTACTTCCCGCCTCTGGTTGTGTAGAATACCTTGATCAACGATTGATGTTACGCCAACACACCATCAGGACAAACAGCATATGTTTTCCCTTTATTGGTCAAACCGTTTTTCAAGTTCGTTTTTCTATCTATTCCACTTTTTCAATGCTCCCCTCGCGTGGTGAACATTTTGCGTATTGTGATTCATGTTCTCCTCGATGAGATTAACCGTTCGCGCAGTTCAGGGACTGAACATCCGTCAATCCGTTATATCAGGATTCACAAGAATGAGTACGAGTTTTCAGTTTTTCGAAAATGGCTTGAATGGTGAGGAAGGAGAGAATGTGGTTTTGCGCGAAATAAAATAGTTATTGTCTTGTTACCCAGTCTAGGCAATTCATAAAATTTTACATCAAAAAGTCGAAGCTAGAATGGCAGCATCAGTTTTATGGCAAAAATTGGAGATATTGTGTAGTACTGTGTCTTGGGATATTTGAATTTATTGGGAATGACTTTCAGTTTTCGACGGAATGCAATAAATTGATATTCATTTTCCATTTTTACGTTCCCCGTATACTCGTAGTTTTGGAGTTTAAAGATCAACGAATAGACACTACTTCTGAACCCCATGATTCTGTTATCAAAAATCGATATTGATAGGTCACGGCAGCCAAGGGCCGGAGCTACCCTAGTTAATTTTACCACTGCGAGAGACTAATAAATCCGAAACAAAAGATCAGAATTTTAAGTTTTGAATAGATAGCTTGCAGAACGCTGATTTCAAATATGTTGCTCAGAACTTTGTGCGATAACTTTGAATATCTTACCAGTGAAAAAGGACCAATGAGATTGAAAGCGTGTAATTTATAAAAATATTGATGTTTTTGAACCTTTAAATACATTGGCGGATAGCTCAAGAGACACTGATGACAGCGGTGTAAACTAGATTTCTCTGGCATGAATAGAAGGCAGCTATATCACTGCGCCACTCACGACGCAAAAAAGCGCTTACTGTGTCCTGCGGCACATGAAAATTTTTTGAATAGATAGCTTGCAGGACGCTGATTTCAAATATTTTCAGATTTTGAACATACCGCCGGATAGAGCAGTCACTACTGAATCCACATATAGGGAAAAGCAAAAAGAGTAGTTTTGTGGGACGTTAGCTATGCTACAGTATGTGGTTGTGTTTGATCTTCCCCCACAACAAAATTAACGAGATTTGCGCATACATAATCCCAAAAACAAATTTTGGAATTCTAACTTTGTACCTGTACTACTACAACATTATTATGAAATTCTAAACAGCAGACAAAAAAAACTCCACATTTGCGATACGACCGAATACAATCCCCTGGCAAATCGTGTGACAAAGGAAAACTACAGTCCAGAAAGGCAGAATAATGTCGTGACTAGATGTCTGAGAGTTTTGCCTAAATCACCCATTTGCCATCTACGGCAGCTACGCGGCAAGATCAGCCTTTAGGCTCATAGGAGGTAGAAGAACAAAATTCATCTTTGCGATTTGAAGCTTCGATTGGTAATCGGCTGAATTTATGGGAATGTTTTACACGACAGACTCAAAAGAAGGAAGTGGAAAACTCGAATTCAAATGAATGTAAATGTAGGCGTGTTTGAGTTGCATTCGCATACTGCAGATCAACCATTTAGAAGAGACGAAAGTGGATGAAGATGTTTGAGGATACCGTATTATTCGAGTTAACAACTCTCACAGTTCTATAGGATCCATCCACAAACTCTGCCTTGAATTAAAGAGCACTCAGCTGTTTCAAACCATTGGGATTTTAGTTGTCTTTTTCCCGATAGCACATTGAAGGCACCATCCACCCTGAATTAAGAGCCTTAAGCTTTTGGCAGCTTACTATAGTAGACCCTATCAAGCCAATGCCCACGCCGCGACGCAAAATGTCGCTTCGGAAGCAAGAAGATCGCTTTGGAATGGTGAAAAGACATGAGGGCCCAAAGTCGGCACCGACCCCTCCAAAAATACCCGCCTATTCGTGCGCGCTTATCCAATCACCGTTCGGAAAGCCGGCTTGCGGGTTTTCCGGAAACGGGATGCCTGAGTTTTCGCGGATTCTCGACTTCATATTCAGACTCAGGGACATGAGAAGACTCCGGAACGATTAAACATGGAAGTCGAGAATTTGGGTGGACGGCACCTTTGAACTCAATACTTTCTGAATTAGGGAAAGCGCAGTCATTGAAGGCTGGGTTAATTATGATATAGCTTACCTTTCAATTGCTGGTTGAGTTTTTCTTTCAAAAGCTCGGTTTGCGTGTATTCATATCGATTCTGAGGGATAGGATGAGATCGTATCCAACCATCACATACAAACGAGTAAAAATCGTCACATGGGTTAACAGAACGATCGATTGACTCGACTAACTCCGGATAGCGAATAATGTTTCGCTTTTCGGGATCAAGACTTTCTGAAATGATCCGAAAATTTTTGATGCTGTTATGAGAAAATTACATTGCCATAATTACAAAATCTTACCTAAAGTTTTGATGCCGTTCTGCCCAGCCCGGTTTTTGTCTATTTCGATTCCACTGAATGACAGAACAATATTCTCAAGGTCAACGTCACCGAGTGAAATAGTGACATTTTCAGCTCGAAGATTGAGTGCTTTGAGGACATTTTGTAAGCTGATGTCTTTGCAGTGAAATAGTTCAGTGAAAATCAAAATAGTAGCTATACCAAATATGTTCATCATATTGCGAATAGAAGAGCGGGCTTATAGGTCAGGGAATTTTCTTTCTCTCATTTTCGTCGCATGACGTGCCGGAGGGATGACAAGGATCCCAAACAAAACCAACAGAATCCGATTATATGTGATAGCAAATAATGGTAGATGATTCAGACGCACTGGAATCTCGCTCGTTTGTGATGAATAAACTATCCGCGAGAGAGATCATCCCTCGACTCGGCTACTACTGGTTCCGGTGTACCGGTTATTTTTCAAAAAGCCTCGGATTTGATCGTCAAAAACATGTGCGCACAACGGGCAAATCGCAATCATTTTCACATAAGTACATAGTACGCAATTTTGATACTATGTATTTATAATAGTGACGCTATTTTCTAGTTTAGGAGCGTCAATATGTACACGTGTTTAGAGAAAATCATCCAATCGGGTAATAGCGAAAACAGTGCACCACAAAAGTTTGAAAGTTGGACAATATTATCCTTCGTGTCCATAATGTATAATCATTAAAAAAGCTGGAATGTTTTTTCGTGCTACTTTTTCTCCCGAAAAAACGAAGAAAATGTCACATCTATTCAACGTTATAAACAGAAGACATTCCATCAATTTTTTATTCCACAGGATTTTGGGGAAATGTGCGCATTGTTTGATAGTTAATAACTCATTTGCGTGAAGAGTCTTCGATGTTCGTGCACCTTTTCGGAGGGCTTCTCCAGCTTATTAGGTAAAATAAATCATCAGTTGCTCTTCATCTTTGTAGGATTACTGCAAAAGCTTCCATCGTGGATTCATGGCAATGATAACCAAATATTGCTTTTGTAGAGCTCTAAAAAATGAAAATGTGTTAAAGATTTTTTCAATGCTTTCTGTTGTATTGACCTACACGCTTACTAAACATGAAACGACCCACTTATCACGCAATTTTTTGTGAATTTGAAGGTCATTTTCAGTGCCGCTTTGTTGCTGATCTTCAAACGAGCCAAATGAGTCACATATCCCTTTGATAAATGTCTCTTTCAAGCAATAAAAATCGCTTTTTCTCTGTCACTGTAGATTTGTCATAATCTTTCTCTGAACGTACAGCTATTATTCAGCTACCTTGGGAACAGTTTTGAGGACACCTACAATGAGCCAGTGCAGACGTCTATAGCTAACAGAATGGGTCTTTCAAAAGTTCCATAATATTATATAGGAGAAGTCTGGCCATCAGCATCTCTGGAAAAAAAGCGTATGAGGGAGAGTTGAGATCAACACCACTGAAAAGCTCCTTTAGGTCTATGCATCTTTTACAAAACACTTCTTGATATTGTTTTTCAATTCTAAAATCCAAAAGCTACGTGATCTTCAGATTTGCCCATATAAAGGTATGACAGAGCCTAACATCTACATAACGGTTGTCGTAAGTGCGCAAATATTCAGCAAGTTTGCAACACTTTGGTAGATACACTTTAAACTTAACTTTTTTCATCGATTTCTTCCCCTGCGTAAAAATGTTTTGGTACTGTCTCCTTTGCGGCAGTACACTGGTGCCGCTATCGTGTCAAAAACGAAGTGTAAAAACTGTACTAGGAAATTTGAAAATTGTCGGAGGTTCCTTTTTTCGAGTGTATCGTGTAGGATTTGAGGAATAACAATTCTAGACAAATGTTATCCATGTTGAAATGCTGATATGAGCCAACATGAACCTGTGCAGACATGATTGCGCCTGCCCTCATTAGGTCCCGGACAGACTTCACGCGATTTGATCGTCGCGACTCAATCGCCGACATTTCCATTCATTTTCATTTCACGTTCAAAAAATTCGGGCTGAAAAAGTATCACAACCGAATGCAAGTTGATCGGCATGGAATGATGTTGTAACAGTTGTCTCGTCGCGATTCAGTCGCGACGATCAAATCGCGTGAAGTCTGTACGGGACCTTACCCTAAAATCTTACAGATAAGTCCACTTTTCTGCACAGCCAAAAATCTTGCGGATAACTCCTTCCATCAGATAAGTCCGTCTACAGATAAGTTTAGCATGATAGCTCTCCGTGTGAACCATCATGAAGCAAAGCCGCGCCTCCATAAAGCTAACACTAATTTGTGTATCGTCGACTCTAAAAATCGTGACGACGGTCTGCAGTGCGGCCAGTGCGCGCCGCACGGCACTGCCGCCTAGTGATTCGCCCAAATTACGTTGAGAAGGTGAGTTCTTGTGGTTTTTCTTTTTCTTTTTGCATCTTTTTTGCTTGCAGGAACTTCCATGGCTACCGCAGGGAGCCTACACTGCTGAGAAGCAAGATTGCCTTACGTTAAAGCGGCAGTGCCGTGCGGCGCGCACTGGCCGCACTGCAGACCGTCGTCACGATTTTTAGAGTCGACGATAAGTATAATCGGTATTATTCGCTTTATGCTATCGTAAAGTAATAAATAATAATTGTAAGGTTGTCATATGTGCAATTTCTCGCAATTAAACCTGGCCGTGGTTTAAGCATTCTTTACAGATAAGTCCGGACTTATCTGGCAGTCTTAAACTTACCTGACAAGATTTCAGGGCACCTAGTTATAATGGACTGACGGACTTAACTGATGCGAGGAGTTATCTGCAAGATTCTTGGCGGTGCGAGGGTGCATTTTCTTCGATTTTTTTGGTGAAAAAAGCGGACTTATGTGTAAGACTTTAGGTTTATAAAGAAGGCGCCAACTCAAAAAAAAAAACAGATAACGGGAGAGCGCGGTGCGGTTCCAAAGCGCGCGGATGCAATCTAGGCACCTCTAACTAGGGCTTCACTACTTTGCCAAAAACTATGAAACTCTGCTCTACCTTATCGTCCGGTTCCTCGAACACCTGCAAAAATGCCAGCCCATTGAAAATTGTCAATAAAACGTACTGCCCATAATTTGGGTTTTTGAGCAGGGACCGCGGGTCTGGCAGTACTTTAGTAGTAGGCAGCAACCGATCAAAACCTCAATAGAGTGAATGAGCTTGTTTTGGCGCCTTAAAAAATCCCAATCCGAAAGTGCCTAAAAGTGCCACACCACATTGCGTTTTTCATAATCTACTATTGGGGGGGGGGGCGAAAACAATGCTCTACTAATCCAACTACATTTCTCAATCATTAACAAGCAACGGCTTATGATTGGCAGGGGCTCAACTTCCGGCAAGACAGACTGATTATTAATTAGTTAGATAAAACGCTAATGATAATCTATTGAAATCACTCCAACGCAGTCTTTTGATATACTGTTGATGATTTCTGTATCATCGGCCAATGAACTCTATGTTTTAGATAGCCTACGGAATCTCCGTAGGCTAAATTGTGAGCTACTCACTTCTGAGTATCTAATCACTCAAGAGTGAGTGGTACCCGGCGCCAGGAGTGTAGCCAATCGGCGGCATCTCCTTTCAAGCAACAACTCCTGTACATTGTACTCTGTACTCGGTTCAGCTCCGCCTTCCTTCGTATATAAGGAGCCTCCGAATGTATTGGGGTTGCTCCCCGGTCCACACCGGGGCACTTCAACTTCTTCACAATAATCTAAGCCCGTGCGAATAAATCTATATTCCACAACCTCGTATACCCCTAATGACTTGGTACCCACCAAATATACTATACTGTACGATGGACAATCAAAATTCTGGACTACGTTGATGAGATCAGAGATCTCGGGTTTTTGGTCTGTAGCAATCTTAGTTTTGATAAACATTGTGGTACTATTGCTGCGAAGGGTAATGTAACCGTGCACATTTTATTTCGTACTTTATCAAGTAGTGATCTCTCCCTGCTTATCAAAGCGTATAAGGTCTACATCAGACTCAGACCTTTCCTTGAGTACGACACAGTAGTATTCAACCTCACAAAGTTAACTCTATACGGACGCTTGAAAAAGTGCAGAATAGCACTAGAAAATTATGGACACGAATCAAGGGGCTTGACTTTGATGGAATACTTAAAGGCAATCTGCGCAATAGAAAATTTGGATTAAATAGTCTAGCTTTCAGAAGAAGGGTGTTTGACTTTATTACGGCACACAAAATTTTGTTTAAAGAGCATCAAGTCAGTCCCTTTGACTTTTTCCAAATGAGGCGAGAACGAGAGAAGGCCAAGGAAGATTTTGGTTCCAAGAGCGAGAAGGAATGTGAGGAGAAGGTTTTTTGTGAATAGAGTGAGCAGTGATCTTGATAAAATAATGAGGGAGGGAAGGCTCCCTTGTAAACCTTCACCATTCAGAGCAGTTTTAAAGAACTATCTGCTTACTCAATGAATTCGTGGTGGGATGTTTTTACTTATCTATTTATTTGATGGCACAAGGCGTGCCCATTTAGCACTCAATCAACATCAGAAATACCCTGAGCTGAACTTGGTACAAATCGAAAGTGCAAAGTGACTCTTTAATACTCCGACGGTATCCGTAGATGCGCCATAAGCAGGTAATCAATGGCGATGCTGTAAACAGCGCACTGAATAATCTAACCAAACAAAAATGTGCAAAAGTGAGCGAAAACTTACTGCCTACCGTACACCTACAGTACATTTACAGGTTGTGGCACTTCTACATACCGTATGATGCGTCTCGCGAGCTGAATCGAACGGTTTTCTCGCATTCAGAGTCCGTCCATTTTGAAGCGAAATGGCGATGAGACGCGATTCCGACGGACTCTAGTGATGTGCGCACTCCGGCGAACCGCAGTGCAGTGCGACGCACTCCGGCAAAGTCCGCTGCAGTCCGGCGACTTTTTTGACGAATTATGAGTGGTATTGTAGTTTTCCTGAATGATTTGATATTCAAAAGCGTGTACCATACTCCAAATCCCAATACGTGGTGATGAAAGGATTTATGTTTTTATAACATTTCAAGGATATTCTCCCTAACAGCGGTGCGGATAAGACTCCGTGTTTCCTTCACTTAAGCTAGACCTTGCAAAGGAAGCACAAAGATTTCATGAAGGTGCACGCTCCGTTTTAGGATTCACATTTCATCTTTCTTTCTAATGAACAGGAAGCGGACGTTGATACTGCAAAGCGT